AAATTCTAGGCGACTATCTCCTTTGAAAAAAAAAAAAAAAATTCTAAACTAAGCATTAAACTAATTCTAGCAATATATTATGGGATAATTGACAAAATGGATTTCCCCAAAATAGCAGCTTAAAAAAAAAAAAAAATAATGTAATTTGCCACATTAACAGATTAAAGGAGAAAAAAAAAAAAAACATCTCAATACAGGCAGAAAATGCAAGGGGAGGAAAAAAAAAAAAAAAAATAGCTAATGGATCCTGGGCTTAACACCTATGTGATGAGTTGATCTGTGCAGCAAACCACTGTGATACATGTTTATCAATGCTACAAACCTGCACATCTGCACAGGTACCCCAGAACTTAAAAGCTGAAGAAAAAATGCAGAAAATGTATTTGATAAAATTTAATATACATACATAATAAAAAAAAAAAAAAGGATATTAGAAATGGAAGAGAAACTCTTTCATTTGATAAAAAGCTTACTACAAATATCATAATGGTGAAATACTGAATGCTTAAAAAAAAAAAAAATCAGGAAGATACAAAGTTGCCCATCACCAACTTTAAAAAAAAAAAAATGGCTACTGCAATAAAGCAAAAATTAAAAAGTACATTTGACCCTTGAACACCACGGAGGTTAAGGGCACTGACCCCTCTGTGCAAAAAAAAAAAAACATATAACATTTGACTCCCCCAAAACCTAACTACTAAAAAAAAAAAAATGACCTTGCCAGTAACACAGTAAATTAACATGTTTAAAAAAAAAAAAAATACACTGTATTCTTACAATAAAGTAAGCTACAGAAAAAAAAAAAAAATTAAGAAAATCATAAAGAAGAGAAAATATGTTTACTATTCATTAAGTGGAAGTGGATCATCATAAATGTCTCCATCCTTGTCTAAAAAAAAAAAAAACTGAGAAGGAAGAGGAGAGTTGGTCTTGCAGTTCCAGGGGTGGCAGCGGCAGAACGGGAGACAGGAGAGGCAGGCACAATCAAAAAAAAAAAAAAGAAATACTTTGTAATTTCCGTCATAAAATAAGTCAAAAAAAAAAAAAAATAATCAGAATCCTTCTGCTAGATTGTCTGATGTCAAAAAAAAAAAAAGCATTACTATGTCTTTTCTACCTGGCACCATTTTGAAAAAAAAAAAAACCATCAAGTCATCCTCTGTTAATTCCGCTGACAAGGTGTTTCTTTTAGCTCTTGAATTTCTCTAAGATCCGCATCTTGAAACCAAAAAAAAAAAAACTTCTTTGCCATATCCACAATTTTTTCATCATTTCCTTGACTGACTCTGTGTGGTCATGCACAACATCTGGACAGTCTGCTTCAAAAAAAAAAAAATATTTCAGGCTTGATGGCTTTTTCTATAACAATGAAAAAAAAAAAAAAGGTGTAATCCTTACAGACTTTCATGATGTTCTGTGGGGGTTCTCTTCCATAGCAGTAACAACCTTTCCCTAAAGTACCCTGCTAAAAAAAAAAAAAAAGGTCCTTATGGCCCTCTGATCTGAGACTCAACTAAAAAAAAAAAAATTGGGGGCAAGTAGACCACTTGGATGCCTTCAGTGAAAAAAAAAAAAAGTTCTAGGTGGCCAGAGGAATTGAGAAGGTAAAAAGAACTGGCAGTCCTTACTGGCAAGATACTTCTTAACTTTAGGAACAAAAAAAAAAAAAAAACAATCCAGAAAAAGCATTCTCATTGTGTAGCAGGCAAAAAAAAAAAAAAACCAAAAGACTGGCAGTTGGTATTATCTTTTTCCAAAAAAAAAAAAAGGTTACCAGCTTACTAAGTACTTACTCTCTCTAAGAAAAAAAAAAAAAAATCCAACTCCATTTCCACAGAATAGTAGAGTTAGAAAAAAAAAAAAACCTTAAATCTTGATGCTCACTTCTCTTCCTTACTAATAAATGTCCTTTACGGCATTATCTTTTTTCCAAAATAGCACAGTTTTACCTGCATTAAAAACCTGTCCCGGCAGTTGTTCTTTCTCCTCAATGATAAAAAAAAAAAAACTGGGAACGCATCTGCTGCCTCTTGGTCAGCAGAAAAAAAAAAAAAAATTATCTTGACATTTTTAAGCCAAATCTCTAAAACTATCAAACCATCCTTTGCTGGCATTAAATTCTCCAGCTTTAGATCTTTCAAAAAAAAAAAAAGTTGTAATATAATGACTTTGTGCTTTTTCTTGAATAAAAAAAAAAAAAATAGATATGCCTTTCTTATGGCAATCCTGCACCCACATAAAGGGTGCATCTTCTATACAAGATGAAAGTCTTTTGCAAAAAGTAAAAAAAAAAAAAGCTTGCTGGTATAGTTGCACCTATGGCTTCACAAAAAAAAAAAAAAAATTTCAATGGTCCTTATTCTGGATTCATTTATTTTGAAAAAAAAAAAAACCACAGCTACAGACCTCAATCTACAGTATATATCAAAAAAAAAAAAAATTTCTTGTAATATCATGAGCTTACTTCTTGGGAACAAAAAAAAAAAAACTAGCAGCAACTCATACGGGTTTCATGGTATTATTAAAAAAAAAAAAAGTATTGTACGAAACACAATGAAAAATATGCAAGAACTGCAAGAGACCATTTATTAAGATACTCAATTTACTGGAAAGAAAGCTAAAAAAAAAAAAATGATTAGTGTCTAATGGTGTTTTAAGCAGATATTCAAAAAAAAAAAAATCACTGCAATAGCAACAGGAAGTGAATACAAAACTAAAAAAAAAAAAAAATAGGTATCACAGTTAATTCTATGCAGTTATGATAAAAAAAAAAAAATTTACATTTCTTTACATTTCTTTCAACTGCAAATGAAAAAAAAAAAAATCTGTGTAGGCACACATTTTGATAAATTTTCATAAAAGATTTGTATTTTATGGTAGCAAATTATAACACAGACTAATATCTACATGTATTTTATGCATTTGTGACATATCTTTTTCTTAATTTTTTTCAGTATTTCTAGGCTACGTGGTTCATCTGAGTTTTTTCAAACTGTCGCACATTTCCAAAAAACTTTCCAATACATCTATTGAAAAAAATCCTGCGTATAAGTGGATCTACACAGCTCAAAAACATGCTGTTCAAGAGTCAACTGTATACAGATTGGAAGGGAAGAAATAAAGGTTGTTGGGTACAAGGCCAATTATAAAAATCAATTGTATTTTTATATACAAGCAATTTACTTTAAAAATGACACTATTTATCATGACATCAAACACTTAGCAATAAATCTAACAAAAGATAAAAAAAAAAAAAATACAAAAAAATTTCAAAACACCAAGAAAAATTAAAAAAAAAAAAAAATGGGAAAATATATTCATAGACGTGAAGAATCAATAAAAAAAAAAAAAATCAAGTGTCCCCAAATTAATGTAGAAATGCAATGTAAAAAAAAAAAAAACCCCATGTGTTTTTCTATGTATGTATAGTTTAATAAAAAAAAAAAAAAATGTATACAGAAATGCAAAGGTCCAAGGATAGTCAAAAAAAAAAAAAAGAAAAACAGTGGAGGACGGAAGCTTCAGGTATCAAAAAAAAAAAAAAAGTTACAGTGATAATATGATATTGGCTGAAACATAAACAGGCCAATGGAACAGAATAGTGTGTCTAGAAAGAGACCTCATATAAAAAAAAAAAAAAATGACAAAGAGACACAGAAGTCTGGTGAAAAAAAGAAAAAAAAAAAAAATAAACAGTGCCGAGTCTATTAGTTATCCATATGGAAAAAAAAAAAAATGTTGCCCTCCTCCGCATAATATATATTTAAAAAAAAAAAAAAAAAAATAGAAATAAAGCAGGAATAACTTATTGAGATAAACAAAAAAAAAAAAACCAGAACACAGAACACACTTAACATATAGGGAAAAAAAAAAAAAAAAAAGTAGATTAAAATTAGGAAATTCTTGATACAGCCAAAAAAAAAAAAAATTATTTGGGAACTTATTAGTGTATGCAGTCTGATAAAAAAAAAAAAAATATTTATTTAACATTCAAAGAACTGATTTTGCTTTAAAAAAAAAAAAATACCTTGATTTACAAAATTAAATCCATAAAACTGAAAAAAAAAAAAAAAAATGATTATAGTTTTAACAACTACTAGAAACATAAAAAAAAAAAAAATACAATTTGAATTTAATATGTGAAGTGGCATTGTTTTCACTCATTTTTTAAAATGCAGTTTTACTTCTAATCTTAAATGCTACTAATAACACTCAGTTATCACAGGTGATTGAAAATAGCTGCCAGGTGCCCTGTTAAGTAGACAGGAACAAAGTCAACTTAAATAAAAGTAAAGTCCCAGAGCTGCTCTCTATGGCTAGCAAAAAAAAAAAAAAAAAAAAAAAAAAAAAAAAAAAAAAAGCCATCTGCTACAACAAAAATAATCTAAATGTCTGTTTGTCTACTGTTTATTTAAATGGCGGAAAATCAGTTTGCTTAGCCAAGATCATAGCTACAACAGGATTAACCTGTCTTCAAGTGGGGGAAACAACTACCTATCATCCTGTTTACTCAAAAAGCCTCCTTACATCAGAGAAGCAAGGGGTAAAATATTGGAGTACTGGAGTAAAATAAAGATAGCATTAGCTTTCCAGAGGCGAGAAATGTTAAAAGGCCAGAGGGGATGACACATTACATACTCAAATGTTTTAAAATTTCAATTTATATGTTTCATGTCTATAATAAAAAAATTTACACATGCAAAAAATTATTTCTAATCAAGAACTGACTTTCTTTTAATAGAACCTGATAATTACTATAATCTTATGGATTCTATCTAAGGCAAAATACAGCTTTAAATATAGAAGGGAATTGAGTATCTTCAGTTATACATTCTTTCAAGGTCCATAATCTTCAAATTTCTAGATTAACAGAAATTGCGTAAAGGGCTAATACAGTCCAACTCTCATTCTCTGCTTATGCCAAGCCTCGTTAAAATAACACACATTTATCTTTCAGTTTGGGAAGGGCATTATGTATTCTCAACTACTAAACACTTTACCTTTGCAGCAAGCAGTAGTCCAATTTCGTCAGCTTCAGCCTCCAATTTTCTGCTGTATGGTCTATTAAACATATACTAAGAAGAAACAGGACAGAAAAGCTCCATTAAGACAATTTTTTCATGACAAAAGGAGTAACAAAGAGAGGTTTTTTTTTTATTTTAAAGTTTCATGGAGTATCTAGGATAAAATTCCTATACTGTCTACTAACATTAAAATAACTCCATAATATAAAATATAAACACAGCCTTTATTTCCCTGATTAGAAATTAATACTTTAAAAACATGGTAAGAATAGAAGTAAATTTCTTGACAGTCTGTAGTATGAGGAATTTACTTCTATTTTTCCAATTATAGTCTCCACCTACTGAGTACAGGATTCACTAAGAAAGCTTATTGATGAAGGCTTTTAATATGGCCAAGGAACATTATGACCTTGAGTTTTAAAAGAAAATCAAGAAAACGTAGGTATATAATATCCAATGACACTACTAGACAATTTATTTCAGTAAGAAAATTAACCATATAGCAGAATGTTCTTTCTTTGATAAATTATCTTAATTTCCTTTTTCTTTTCTAAGTATTGATTAGTTGGGAAAATGAAATTTTCTTCTGACTTCAATAAAAAACACACGTAGATATAGTAACTTTAATTTTCCTAATTACTTGTATTTATGTGAACGCTTTCCAGTTAAATTCTAATTTTCAGTAAGTACTAAAACTTTGTAGGAGATGAATCAATAGGCAGGACTTTTGAGAAAAGAGCTATTAATTGGGGAAGCAATCTTTCAAAGGTAGCCACATGTCTGTGATGGCCTGAAATAATACAATAAATCTGATATACAGTATGTGACCATTAGAAATGACTTCCTTCCTTTTCAATCAGTCAGTTTTAGGTCGATGATGTATATCATATAGTGCCTTCACTCTCCATGAGCAGGCTGCATGTGCCTCCATCAAGTCTACTGATAGCATAAGGATTTAAGACGTTGGCTTTAAAAAGACAGAAACTTAAGTTCAAGTCCAAATGCTGTTAACTTATTGTTAACCCTGAGCTAATTGTTTAACCCCACTAAACCCAGGAGTATCATATGTAAAATGAAATGAGTAACAGTGCCAAGCTCACACAGCTGCAGAGGGGATTAAATGAACAAAAATAATAGCTCATATTTATTGAGTCCTTATTTGTGCCAGGTATTGTGCTAAGTGTTTTAAATTAATGATTCTAAACCTAGTGTGATTTTGTCCTCCAGGGACATCTGCAAATGTTTGGAAATATTTATGACTGTCATAACTGAGAGAAGGGAGAGCTACTGACATCTAGGGGATGGGGGTGAGAAATGCTACTAAACATCCTACAGTGCCCAGGACAACTTCCCCACAACAAAGAATTATCCAGTCCAAAGCATCAGCAGTACTGTGATTGAGAAATCTTGCTTTAAATGTATCATTCCGTCCTCACAACAAATGAACCTCAGCAATTCCCACACCCTTATGACTTCACTATCAACATTCCTCTCTGTTCTCCAATCACAGTGAGCAACTTTCTAGAGAAAAACATCTCCTTGTCACCAGAATTATTGAGGGGCCTTGATTTAGGGAAAAAGAATTCAAACAGAATCATTCCTATTTTATTTTCACGGAAGAATTACAACGAAGTGGCAGAATTTATCAAATATTTAAAGAAAGAAATAGCTACATGTTATCTTTCTTATGACCCACTCTGCTGATTCCATTACAAAAAAAGCAATCTACAGATAGATAGAGAAAATAACTAAATTAATTCTTTTAATTTCCTGGCAGGTCAGTGACAGAAACAAAATTCAAAATATGAGATCCTATAACCTAAGGAATAACTATTCTTTTGTTCTCTCTTTAAGAACCTTTACTTCAATATAAACGAAGCCAAATGATATGGTAATACTGAATAACAGACTTAGTTATCCAATCTCAAAAACAATTTGTCTCATAGAATTTTGCACATTAGATTTAAACAGCACCCAGATGGCACTCTGATGGGTACTCCACAAATCATTAAATAAACAAATAACAGATTGTTTCTAAATAACCAAACCTCCTGGGACAAGAGGAAATATTCAAAGAAAGATGTCAAATAAAATAATCATAGTTAACAAAGTAGTTATAAAGATTGCAAGACCTACTTTCAGTAGTACAGTGTTTTGAACAAAACGAGGCACTCAATACATTTTTGAGATGATTATTATACATAAGCACTAAAATCAAAAGTTAACAAACACCTAGTAAGACTTTCCTTTCAATAATTTCAAAGCAATGATAGTTCAACAGAGAGAGAAGGAAGGAAGGGCGGTAAAGCAGCTTTAGCCAATTCTGTGCCCATTAAAGTTCACAGGTTTTAATACTGCCCCATTAAAATGCAAATACAGTTGGCTCTCTATATCTGTGGATTATGCATCTGATGGATTCAATCAATTTGGATAGAAAATATTTATGAAAAACAATTAAAAAAAACTACAACAAAATTAAAAATATATAGTAAAATAACAATTTACATAGCATTTACATTGAATTACACATAATCTAGAGATGATTTAAAGTATATGAGACGATGTGCATAGTGACATGCAAATACCATGCCATTTTTAATCAAGGACTGGAGCATACTCAGATTTTGGTATCCACGAGAAGTCCTGTATACCAAGGGACGGCTGAAATTGGGGAATGGTGGAGTCATTCAGTTACTATGAAAGGAAGGGTCAGTGGCTGGGTTTTCTCTTTGTAAAACCAATAAATATATTTTTGAAAATCATATTAGCCAAAAGTTGCCAAGCCCTTCTAACCTATCCATACCCATCATTTGAGAGATGTAGTATTCCTTAACTTAAATATTCATATATAAGAATATCCCCTAAAAATGAGAAAACATAAGACACTAAAAATTTGTACCCATATTTCATAGTGAAATGTAAAAACATCTCTGGATTTGCTGCTTTACAGTAGTATTAAAATATCCTCACCACAGGCTATGATCAATTCAAGTTATTGTCTCAGACTTACCTCCTGCAATTTAGACTGTATCCACTGGCCCAAAAGTGCCAAACTATCTCGAGGACAAATGGCCCAAATCATTGTGAGGAAAATCATACCTAGGAAATCCAAAAAATGAACCATGCCAGCCTTTTCTGCCTGAGAATAATCAAGATAATAAAAATTACATTTCATACATCGAGACAGTATATGCTTACATTTTCTAGTTCATCAGGTGTTACAATTACCCAACCTTCTCCACCTAAGACTGAGAGTTCTCTTTTTCTTCTTTTGCTTTTTCTTTCCTGGTCTGCTTTTCCCTGCCTTTGTTTATCTACTTATACACCTATTCATTCGTTTAACTAGTATCTACTGAGCCACTTATTATTACAGGATATTAATCTACAGTTTCTTGCATTAACACGCATAATAATCTTGTGAAATAGGTACAATTATCCCTACATTTATAGATAATGAAACTGAGATAGAGGTTAAAAGAGTTGCCCAAATTTGCACAGCTATTACTAAAAGGACCAGAAATCAAACCCGGTCAGTTTTAGTTTTTAATACAGTTGCATCATTTTAAAAAATCAAATAAATGTTTCATTTTACTAATATTTTTGGATGAGGACTAAACACTAACATATGAAGCACTTAAAACAAGAAAAAACTCAGAAAAAGACTGGAAGTTTATTTTAAATAAATGTATTCTGGTCTTCAAGACCTAATATATGAAACATTACTCCTTTATACAAGTTTGTAAATTTGTAAGTCTAGTATTTATCATGAGAGAATCGGGTTCTATGAATTTTTGTATTTACTTACATCAGTTACCAAAAAAGATTTTTCATAAAATAGTTGTTTTGAGTAGTAATATATAAATACAAGTTTAATGAACTAGATTGTTCATGGTTTGCCAGTAAAATTGATTAGTAAGTGTTAATGTTGTAATGCTGAAACTGAAAAAATAGCAGTCATTACTTGAATGTATGAAAAATGACTGAAAACTAAAAACAATGACTTAGAATACTGTCCCTTAACAAATATTGTACCCTCACAAAACATACTTTACCTCCTTATATTTGCCTTATTACTTTGCCTCAAAACACAACTGTGTATTTTGAAAAACAATTACGGATTTTTTTTTTTTTTGAGACAGAGTCTTGCCCTGTTGCCCAAGCTAGAGTGCAGTGGTGAGTCTCAGCTCATTGCAACCTCCGCCTCTGGGTTCAAATGATTCTCCTGCCTCAGTCCCCCGAGTAGCTGGGATTACAGGGGCCCACCACCACGCTCAGCTATTTTTTGTATTTTTAGTAGAGACGTAGTTTCACCATGTTGACCAGGCTGGTCTTGAACTCCTGACCTCGTGATCAGCCCACCTCGGCCTCCCAAAGTGCTGGGATTACAGGCATGAGCCACCACATCCAGCCCAATTATGGAATTATTTTAACATGAAAACATGAAACTCAAAATAAGGAAGTCGTTATAGAAGAGAAAGCCCTTGTTATCAAAGAATATAATTGCTATTATACAGTCTTAGAAAACTGGAAATACACACACAAACGCCTGTATTTGTAGAATAAAGAAAACATAAAAACCTAGATAAAATCAAAATTGAGACTCCCCAAAGAGAAAATATTGTGCTGACAATATTTAAGATATCTGCAAAAACATACTAATAACTATGCTCTATTTTTAAGGCTGCTGTTTGCTTTTTACATCTCACCTACTACTGTTCTTGCACTGATAGAGAGGACAATACACTGAATATAAGGCACTGAACTAGACGCCTGAAAAACAAATGTACTGAATAGTAACACCTTTCAAATGCTAAAATGGCCAAAATTGATTTTATGATTTTATGATTTTAAGTTATGAAGCCATTACTTGAAAGATATTAGAGTGCATATAGTAACACTGCTTAGATGTACTCTTGTGTATATTTAAGAAAAAAAGATTTTTTCTTTGAGACAGTGTCTCACTCTGCCACCCACACTGGAGTGCAGTAGTGCGATCATGACTCACTGTAGCCTTGATCTCCCAGGCTCAATCCTCCTGCCTCAGGCTCCAGAGCAGCTGGAACTACAGGTGTGAGCCACCACGCTCAGCTAATTTTTTAAATTTTTCTGTACAGACAGAGTCTACGTTGCCCAGGCCAGTCTCAAACTCATGGGCTCAAGCAATCCTCCTGCCTCAGCCTCCCAAAGTGCTGGGATTACAGGTGTAAGCCACTGCACCCGTCAGGAAAAATGTTTTTAAAATCTTCCTGTAACTCAGAAGAAATCAAGGAGATAATTACTTTTGGTGCTTCAGAAAAACACTTTGGCCCATCTTATTTTATTAATACTCTAAGGAATAGGTAGAATTTGAGATGACTCTTAGAAGGATTAGAATCATTATTTCTATTTGAAGTTAATGTTACTTGTATTTCTGATTTAGCATTTCAGTCACTTCACTATGTACCTTTGTGTTTACAATTAAAAAAATACTTATCTCTAATGTAGACAAAAGAGCCATTCATATTTTTAAATGGATAACAATTTTTAAAAATCTGTGAAATAGATGTGTTATTTTCCTGGACTCATATCAAGATGAACAGACAGGTATTCACAGGAGCATACATCAACTTTAATTCTATGACCTATAAGAAAAGTGCTGCTAAAAACCAGGTAACTATGGTGAAAGGAAGAAACACTGGATTAACATACAGAAGACCCAGGTTAAAGTCCCAATTCGGTTACTTTGTCAGGTTAGTCATGTTACTGTTTTTCTAAACATTAGTTTTCTCTTATATAAAATAGTAATAATAAATACATACCTCATTTGGTATTAAAATTATGAATGAGAAGCTACATAAACTAAAAAGCTCAGTAAACTGTAAAATGGCAAGGTATCGTTATTACTCTGCATTAATTATACATGACACATCATTCTAGAAATTTTCAAAGATGCTCCAAGCTATCTTCTGAGAATGAATAAAAAAGAAAGATGATTTACCCACTTAAATAGTAATATCACTTTCCTACAATTAATTTTCTGACTAGATTACAAGTATATTAATAATTACAGAAAGTTTAAAATTTCATTTGAAATAATTAGGGGTTAAGAATAATTACTTTTTAGCAAAAGAGACAGGTGATAAAAATAGTATTTAAGCAAAATCTTATTCAGTATCAAATACTAAAGACCATAAAAATTCTCAAAATTAGCCAATCACATTTTTTCAGGTAGCAGATTAAGGCAATTACTCAAAACTAAAAGTCCATCATTTTAAAAAAAAAAAGCTAAAGAAAATCAGTTCTTTAAAAGATTTAACTTGTTAACTTCAAAGCGGTTTTTCCAAACCTGAACATTCATTTTAGGTACTTACAGCATGTCCAAGTACTGCATGTGCTATTTCATGGCCCAGAAGGAAAGAAAGTTGATCAATATCGGTTACACTTTTTAACAATCCACTGAAAACAAACATTTGTCCATTCTGCACGACAAAGAAAATAATATAAGCAATTAGAACATCATAAAAAACAAGGACAATAAATTTAACAACTATAATGCATTTGAGAACATTTACTTACTGGAAGCACAAAGGCATTATTAATTGGGGAATCAACCACATGAATAATCCAATTGATCTGAGAAATCCCTGGAATATCTTTATTGCATTCAATTAGATGACAAAGCACTTCTTTAACAGCCAGGTATCGGGCATCTTTCTCAGTCAGCATATCATTTTTAAATTCTTCCATGTGCTGAAAGATTAAAAATTACTTCTTATTTTAAAAGAGCACTACGAAATGCTTACTCTGCTTCATGGAAAGTTATATGACTATTTATTGTTGAACATTTTAAGTTTTAACTATATAAAACTCTGCATATATTAAGCACTCAAATTTCTCAAATCTGAATTATTCATGCAAAGACAATGTGGTTTCTCGCAAAGGAATAAATTCTAATACTAAGAATTTTTTATGGATTGAATAGATTGACACCAAAATTTCACTCTTTTCGATTAAACTACAAACGAATACTTAAGTATTATTTCTACTTTCCTAAGCATTTTAGAAAACACTGCCTAGGCCAGGCAAGATGGCTCACACCTGTAATCCCAGAACTAGGGGAGGCCAAGGCAGTAGGATCACCTGAGCTCAGAAGTTCAAGACCAGCCTGGGCAACATGGTGAAGCCCCATCTCTACCAAAACACAAAAAATTAGCCAGGGGTGGTGGCATGCACCTGTGTTCCCAGCTACATGGGAGGCTGAAGTGGGAGGATCGCTTGAGCCTGAGAGGCGGATGTTGCAGTGAGCTGAGATCTCACCACTACACTCCAATTCCAACCTGGGTAAAAGAGTAAGACCCCATCTCGAAAAGAAAAGAAAGGAAAAGAAGGAAAGAAAGCCTAGAGAACTTAAGATTTCATCTAAGTAAAATACAAAAGAAAATTACATTCATAAAGCATTGAACAGAAAAACACCCTATACTTAATAAGAAAGTTAAACTACCAAAATAGATATTTCATTAACTTTAAGGTGTTTTATTTACAGATTGAAAGGAAATTACTGAAATCTGAGAACTAATGAGCATATCACTGTCTCTACATGATGCTGATTAAGACTAGCCATCATAGAAAATACTTTTTCTGAAGTTATATTCATGAGAGCTCTTTCAAGTGTACTGAGAAAATTAAAAATGCTCTGAAATATTACTTTAACTTTCATAAAGCAGCTGGGTGTGGTGGCTCATGCCACCTCGGCACTTTGGGAGGCCGAGGTGGGCAGATCACAAGGTCAGGATATCGAGACCATCCTGGCCAACATGGTGAAACTCCATCTCTACTAAAAATACAAAAATTAGCCAGGCGTGGTGACAGGCCCTGTAGTCCCAGCTATTCGGGAAGCTGAGGCAGGAGAATCACTTGAACCCGTGAGGTGGAGGCTGCAGTGAGCCGAGATAGCCCCACTGTACTCCATGCACTCCAGCCTGAGTGACAGAGGTGAGACTCTCAAAACACCACCACCAAAAAAAGAATCAACAAGTTAGTAACTTTTCTCCTTGAGATGCATTACAAAGACATTATTTTATAGAATATGAACTTACAAGTAGTTTTTATTTTAAAGACTTCTAAAAAGCATAATTCACCAATGTGAACTGCCTAAAACAGACAAAAACCCCCAGGATTTATTAACTCTTCTGAAGTAGATAAAACAAGAATAAACGTAATTATAGCACTTTATAATATCCCTATAAGAACATGTGTTTAAATTTTCCTATCACACAGATATTACATCTGTAGCTAAAATAAGAAAAAAAGAAAAATGCATCTATGTCTATGTGTATATACATGTACACAGATATACATAAATTTAAAAAAATTTCTTAGCAATGTGAATGGTAAAAGATGCACTAATACTAGGCCTGTCTCAATCTTTCCAGAACACTTTCCTTAAACCTGCCTCTGACTAAAGCCTAAGAAACATCTCAAATCTCTGTATACACTCTACTAAAAGAGATTGGTCTTGCCTGGATTAAGAAAAATTTTTATAACTAAGAAAACATTATTTCTTTTTTTCATAGTAACTTTCCATTGACAAACTCAGAAGTTCATTTGGAATAAAAAGATTTAACCATGCCAGGTACAGTGGCTCACACCTGTAAACTCAGCATTGTGGGAGGCCGAGACAGGTGGATCACCTGAGGTCAGGAGTTCGAGACTACCCTGGCCAACACGGTGAAACCCCGTCTCTACTAAAAATACAAAAAAAATTAGCCAGGCATGGTGGTGCACGTCTATAGTCCCAGCTACTCCGGAGGGTGAGGCCGGAGAATAACTTGAACCTGGAAGGTGGAGGTTGCAGTGAGCCGAGATTGCGCCACTACAGTCCAGTCTGGGCGACAGAGTGTCTCTGTCTCAAAAAAAAAAAAAAAAAAGATTTAGCCATGCCAAAGCTGTCGAGTGAGGCCACTGGACATGAATTCAACAAATATTAATTGAGCCACAGGGCACATAACATGTATATGTGCTATGAACTGGAGAGAAAATGATGACCTCTGTTGCGAAAAAACAAGGGTATAAAATGTTTAACTACCTGAGTTATTACACTTTCCAAAGAGGTAAGACTTCTAAATTACAACTTCAGTTTGGATTCAAAAAACATAATAAATTTCTAAAACTGATGTTCGGAGAAAAATGATCTTATATTACTTGATTTTCAAAGTATAAAAATTCTGACAATAAATCTATTTATCCAATAGATATATACTAAGCACTACTCTTACACACTGTGTTAGTATTTAAAATAAAACCATAAACAAAAACAGGCAAGATCCCTGCCCCCATAAAGCTTAGTCTAACAAGGGACACGGACTATCGAATAAATAATTATGCAAATAATTATGTTACTCTCACGAGTGCTTTGAAGGAAAAGTACAGTGTGCAGAGAAAAAAAGCCTAGGAGACCTAACCCCAGTAAAGCCAAGCAATGGGCACAACTACAAATGAGCTGGTTCATAATTCAGTCGGTATGAAGGATACCTCCTCGGGCCTCATCCAGTCACCTGCGTAACCCAGTCTGGTTATCACGGAAGGCTTTCCGGAGAAAAGTGGCATTCAAGGAGAAATGTGCTGAGCAGGAGTTGGCTGGGTGAATGCTAGGAAAAGCAATGTAGGCAGTAGGAATACTAAGTGTGAAAGGTCTGAGGCCTTCTGGAAAAAAAAATGCTAATTTCATATCAAAGACTAAAATTTAAAAACAACGTATCTTTCATATTTAAGATACTTTCCTACTTTGAGTGTTATACTAAGCAGTCTAATTAAAAACAATTCTTACTACTTACTGCTTCATATTCCAGTTCTGATAAAAGTCTGAACTGCTCTTTCCCCAATAATAGTAGCTTGCTCCTTCCTGTGACTGGACTTACTTCCAGGTGAGTAAAATAAAACACCACAAAGAGCAATCCAAAACTACTCAAACCAAGGAATAGCTTCCATTTATTCTTCCTTATACTTTGTTTAAATAGTTCCTTCTTGTTAGGAGGAAGTGCCTGCCACCATTTCCTTATGCCCCTAAAGCAAAAAGAAAAATCCAAAGTTCTGATCATCATTACAGCACATATCACTAAAGCTCAAATGCATACACTAGAATTTTATGTCCTCAAACACCTGAATTTATATATTTTGCTGAATACATCGCATTTCCAGTTAACAAAATTCTTAGCTAAATGATGAAGAAATCATCAACGATATAAAGTTACAGCTAAAAAATTCTAATACTCATCAAAATTTTCTTCTTCAGCTATTTTAAGGATAAACACTAAATGAGATGCTAGTTTACTATAACTACCACTGGTTAACATTTATTACTATCTAGTATATGCAAAATTCTCTCTCTTTCTCTCTCTCTATAAATATATATATATATATATGCCATCTCATTTAATCTTCATAATAATCCTGTCACAGAAGAGAAAATTGTTAGGTAACTTGTCCATGGCCACCCAGGTAATAAGAGTAAAACCAAGCAATGAAGTCAATGACATTCCAGAGTCTGACCACTTAGCCACTTAATAGGGATAACTGTCTAATTAATTATGTAAGAGGTTACAGTACAATAAATCTATACCTGGAACTACTATTCTTCCCACTGCTCCTCAGACCTCCAACACAATTTGCCAGTGATTCAACAAGGTACAAGGAAAACTGCCTCAGCATTCATTTTGGAAATAAATAGTGCTCAGTAGCAGAAACTCCACTATCCTCTTTAGAAAATGAAAAAGGAGAGATAATAATATCATAGGTACTCATAAGAAAGTGGGAGATTTTGTAGATAACATCTGAGAAGGTCCAATTTCTACCAGGCAACAATACTGTCTGCTGCTTAGCAGTGTTCAGAAACTTTTCTGACAACAAGCAATATTTTCAATACTGGGACAAACATTTTCCTTGTGAGTTGATCTGTAAAACCACAACAAAAATTTACCATATATACATGATTCTCCTGACAAAAATTTATTTTACAAAATAACTTCTTAAAGTTCTCTTTGTGAAGTGACACACCCCAATGCCTTTACACAAAGTCTCAATTTAAAGGGACATAAACCAAACTATCGAGTACACCTATTTCCTATTTAAAACTTTACATGACATTATCATTTATTTAAAATGTATGAAAGACATATTCTAAATGAAAAATTTTAGGTGATCAACAATAGTAACGAAAACAAGAAAGTTAAAAACAAACAATTTAAAAGGATGAGAACGCATCAGAAATCAGAAAGAGCATCCCAAGAACCTGGGATGAGCGTATTACTTCAACCAAGAGTCAGTACAGCTGTATCTCCTCTGGGTGCCAACACCAAATCATGAAGAACACAATAAATTACAAATGGAAGTTCTTGGTTTTTTATCAAAAGCAAACTGGTTTGGTTCATGTGGAAGTAAGAAGGCTAGTCATCAAACACAAGTCATCAAACACAAGAAAGCTTTATGAAGAAACAGCGATTCGCTTTCTTCAATCTTCATAAAACAAATAAGAGAAAAAGGGTTAAAGTACTATCAAACTGTGAAAGTTTATTGTAAAGGATCTCCAAGAAAAAAAAACAAAGATCTGTTGGGAACAGAATAGAAAAAAAAGCAGCATTAATGATTTAAGAGTTAACTAGGAGTGGGCCCACCCTTATATAAGTAAAGTTCCTCAGTTTTATGATTTGCTGCCTTTAAATTCCACAAATTAAAAAGAAATGTTTGTAAGTACTCTTCTTATATGTGAGCGATAACCAACACTTCTGATCCACATATCCTAAGACCTTGTAATCATAAATATAAGACTTTTTAAAAAATGCCTATATAATACGTAAGAATAACTTTTTAAAGAGACCATATTTCTATACCATAAATTAATATGCAGGAAATTGTTTCAGGATTATTAAATCATACATAACAAAATTGGGCAGGACCTACTGTTTAGAAACTTCACTTTGAGCTAAATGAGGGGAGACGGGATCTAACAAGGTTTCTTTAAAAGTACAGTTTTATAAATAAAAAAATTTAATTTCTAAAAGTTAACACAAAATACTAATGCAAAAAGTTAATACAAAAGTTTAGTTTTCTAAAAAAGCATTTTACCTGCCTACAATGATTGCAAATAACTTCTGCACTGGTTTAAGAATCATCAACAAGAGAGGAACCGGAGCAGCTTGAAACCGTGGAGAAGTGTGGAAATTCCTAATAGCTCTTACAGGAGACGGGCTCAGAGGATGCAATACTGACAGACTAGGAACTGCTGTAACTTCTTTTATCGGTAGCTGTCTTGAAAAAGAGTCATTCCATACAGTACGTTTGCTGGTAATCATCCAAATTTCCTTATTTTTGGTACTTGAGAGGCATCCTGTTCTTTTGTTGTTAAAAGTCCTATAAAAATGGAAGTTTCCAGGCAGAAAAGTCCACCTATCACACTGATTTACTCCCAGTCCCTGATACTTATTTACTGTATGGTTAACTTGTACCTGATGACAGCCCTGTGAGGTGGATGCTAACGTGTTACATTTTCTCCAGTTAGACAGTGAATTAAATCGGAAGAAAACATGGTTTCTAGCAGCAGACTGCAATCCACAGATGAAGCTCATCTTTTTCACTTGATTACCTGAAACACAAAAAATAAACTATAAATATTTGTGGAAAATATTTACTTACCAAACTGGGAATATAACACTTATTAAATAGGTGTGTCAGCTGTTCTTCTAACACATCTCAGGCTAAATTACCTTGGGTTTCAACTCATCACCCCTACAGCAATGCCTTTCAGCAAGATAAACCAGAGTATACATAACATGACATTTACTATGCAATGTGTACTTTAGAAGCTTGCATTTTTTTCATTTCATTTTTAATTTGTAGTTAGGGGAGAGCCATTTTTATTTTAATGGCAAATTATTTGGGCAATAAAGTGGATTAGATAAAAACAATAGTAAAACTTTTATCAGTTTGCAATAACTGGAAGGAAGCATGTAATATGGAAGAGTAAAATCTAACTTATATAAAATGCACTGGACATTAGGCACTGAAGAACAGTGATCCCTGAGAAATGGGAAACAGAGCCCTGCAATTGTCCTAGCTTACTGCCTGAAGAGTGCTTCCAGGCCACAATGCAGACAGGGTAAACCTAGGTGGAGCCCAGTGATTCCCCTAAATCAAAGAGATAAGGCTGCGGGGTCAAGCAAACCAAGGTTGCTAGAGCTCACAGGACAGAGGACAAGAGAAGAAAAGAGCTGCACAGAGAACTCTAGAGTTCTGCAGAGAATCCCCCTCCCATATTCAGCTAAGTCCTGCCTGGGCATATGTGTAAGAAAATCCCCTGGAGCTGGGAAAGGACCACCTGAAAAGACTGGAGAGAAGAATATACACGGCTCACACATGGCATGGTATAGTGTCTGTCCCCTCCGCCAACCAAAGTGGAAAACCTTATCATTCATCAAGCACTCAGAAGGGTTTTGCCTCAACATTAGAGAAAGATTAGTCCTAGGCCAAAAGCTGCTGTGGCCCCACCTAACAAATATTAAAAGCAACACCCAAAAAGATTAAATGCTTCCAAGCAACAACTGCATCCCAGAAAAAACAAAAAACAAAACAAAACAAAAAATCTCAAGAACAGGTATTAGGACACAAAACTATTTAGCACTTAACAAGGTGCAACTTACAATTAAAAATCACCAAGCATGCAAGAAGCAAGATATGTGATCTGTAATTAGAAGAAATATCAATCAGTGGAAACTAACTCCTGAATAAACAAATAACAGCATTAGTAAACAAGGATATTAGTTATTGTAACTATAATGCACAAGTTTAAGAAGCTAAAGGAAAATATGAGCATGTTACATAGAGATATATAATATATTTCTTTAAAAGACTTACACTAAACTTTTAGACAGGAAAACTATAAGACATAAGATGAAAAACATACTAGATGAGACAACAGCAGATTAACATTATAGAAATAAAGATTTGTCACTTTGAAGATGTATCAACAGAAACCATCTAAAATGAAACGCAGAGAGAAAATACAATAATAAAAAAAGGCACAGGGCATCAATGAGGTATGTAATAACTTCAAGCGACCTAATATTCATCTAACTGAAGTCCCCAGAAAGTGGCGGGGGAGGTGCAGACAGAAAAAAGAATACTTGAAATAATGGCCAAAAGTTTTCCAAACTTGATGAAAACTATAAAACCACAAATTCAAAATGTTTAACAAACCCTACACAAAAGAAACACAAAGGAAAAAAACTGCAAGGCATATAACTTCCTAAAATCAATGAAAGATAAAATCTTAAACTGGACATCTTAGATGAACTGTATAAATTCATTAAAAAACACAAAAAAGGCTGGGCATGGTGGCTCATGACGTGTAATCCCGGCACTTAGGGAGGCCGAGGCAGGCGGATCACTTGAGGTCAGGAGTTCGAGACCTGCATGGCCAACAATGTGAAACCCCTATCTAATAAAAATACAAAAATTAGCCAGTTGTGGTGGCACTTGCCTATAATCCCAGCTACTTGGGAGGCTGAAGCAGGAGAACTGCTTGAACCTGGGAGGTGGAGGTTGCAGAGAGCCGAGATGTCGCCACTGTACTCCAGCCTGGGCAACAGTGAGACTCTGTCAAAAAAAAGAAGAAAAAAGAAAAACACACAAAAAAGTACATACTCTGATTCCATCTCTATAACATAAACTGCAAAAAATGCAAACTAATCCATAGTGACAGAGAGATCAGTGACTGCTTGAGGAGTGGTAGGAAAAAGGGCCAGGGGAAGGGATTACAAAGAGTAGCGCTTGCCTGTAAACCCAGCTATAATTGGGAGGCTGAGGAAGGAGAATCACTTGAAACTGGGAGGTGGAGACTGCAGTGAGCCAAAATTGTGCCACTACACTCCAGCCTGGGCAACAGAATGAGAACCTGTCTTTAAAAAAAAAAAAAAAAAAAAATCAACCAACCAAAAACAAACAAAAAACCCAGATTAGAGGGAATCAAATATGAACTGATTTCAAGTTGTTTTAAAGTAACTTATTGATTTTCTTAGGTGATGATATTGCTGGTGATGTGACTATTTTATTCCTGAGATACTTGCTGAAGATCTGTTCATGATAACAT